GCTAGGCATTCTGTTAGAACTTAGTGGCAAGAGAGAAAACCAGAGGTAAATAAAGCATATTCTCAATATTTAGGAGATTGCAGTCTGGTGAGGAACATAAAAAGTATGTACCGTTAATTCTGATGAAAGACAGACTATAGCCATCCTCATATCTATGTACACAAAATAATATTAATTGTATTTTACATACTGATGGTGAAACTGACCCATATCCTTCCTGTTAAGCGCCATGAAGATAATACATGGGTGGACCTAGTTTCCAAAAGAAAGCAGTGAAAAAGCAGCTTCTGCTTCAATATGAAGCTTCAGCACTAAGGAATGGCTCCAAAAGATAATTCATTCTCTGCAGGAGGCATTTAAGTGGAGCAGGTCAAGAAGACATCTAAAGAAAGGAATTCAGCCAGGCGCGGTGGCTCAGCACTTTCGGAGGCCAAGGAGGGTGTATCACAAGATCAGGAGATCGAGACCAACCTGGCCAACCTGGTGAAACCCTGTCTTTACTAAAATAGAAAAAATTAGCCAGGCGTGGTGGCACGCACCTGTAGTCTCAGCTACTCGGTAGGCTGAGACACACTTGAACCTCGGAGGCGGAGGTTGCACAGTGAGCCAAGATCACGCCACTGCACTCTAGCCTGGTGACAGAGCAAGACTCTGTCTCAAAAGAAGAGAATTCTCTCAAAGAAGGAATAACTGCTTTAAGGTAATTGGAGAATCCATCTTTCTTTTCTCTCATTCTTTAGTGCCAGAGTCGGCCTAATTGCCCAGCTATCTATCACCTTAAACCCTAACAGCTGTGGAAATTAAAAAACCATACTGAACTTGGAGTAAGAAAAATGTGGCTTCCAGTTCTGGCACAGATACTTACTAAGTAAATGATCTGTTTGGCCACCTGTATAATATATATAAACAAATCTGCACTTCCCTCAGTTGAAGATAAAGAATCACTGGGATGATAGATTTGAAAGTATTTGGCAAATAGTGGAAAAAAATGATTTATATTCTTTAATTTTTCTTTTTGAGATAGGGTCTCACTTTTTTGTCCAGGTTGGAGTATAGTGGCATGATCATAGCTCACTGCAACCTCAAACTCCTGGGCTCAGGAGATTCTAGTGTCTCAACCTCCCAAGTAGCTTGGACTATAGGTGCCCAGCATCCAGTGCCCTGCTAATAAAAAAAAAAAATTACATAGACAGGGTCTCGCTATATTGCCCAGGCTGGTCTTGTACTCCTGGACTCAAGCCTCCCTCTAACCTCAGGCTTTTAAAGTGCTAGGGTTACAGGAATGAGCCACCATGCCTGATCAGAAAAATTAGTTTAAAAGATAATAAATTACAAAGAAATTTGTCACATTTACCCATTCTGTCCCTTTTGCAGAAGTCCTCATTACTATGAAGACATACTCATATCCCAGTTTATATAATTCAAAACCAGAGTCATATTTGACTTGGCACCATGCCAGATAAGAAATGGTACAATTAGCTGAGCTGTTTGACTTGGGAACAGAAGATACAGGGGGATCTGATCTCTGAAAAACTGGTCATGGAAGAAAAATGATTCAAAATTTTCTGTGCCACTGTAGATAGCTCAGGCAAAACTAATACCTGGGTATTTGTCCACTAATGAGTCACAAGAAAAGGAGTGGATATGGTAAGAATAGAGATTTATTTAAACCACTCCCCATTACTGACCATTAAAACAAAAGCTCACCATGAGTTCCTGAAACAGGTGAAATCTGTGTGACAGCCCTTCCACTTTGGAGAGCCACACTTTTGATGTGACAGTACAGCAGAGTAATCCACCACTGGGGGTGTAATCACCAAACTATTCTTTGGTGTGTGAATTATTAGTGGAAAAGACCCAGCTGTAATTAGACCTCCACTGTGTACTTAGCTGGAAGAACATGTTAATTCTTCAATATGTCTCTTGGTTAAACATTGCACAGTTCTTACCTCATTTCCGTAAATAAAGTTTTGTGAATGTTTTGTATTGTGAAAAATTCATAACATTGATATTTTGATTTATAATATTTCTAATTGGTAGATTGAATTGAAAAGTAAAATTTATTTTTATATGTTCAGGGGAATTTTAAAGTCAAATCTTTTGTAGATGATTTAAAAAAATCAGTGTGGTTTATTTTACTTACTTAACCCACTGGTTGTTATTCTGTAACATTTTGTATAAATGGTAAATTTTGAATGTGTTGTATTTTACCTAGATGTAAAATTCCACATGTATTAAAATGTACAAAGTTTTGTTAATAAATTTAATAATGTTTGTTTATTAAAAAAAAAGAAAGAAAAAGAACAGACTGCTCTATGTGGCCTCGAGGGGAATGACTAGGATATCCAGGTACAAGCTTTAGGAAAACAAAGTTAAGCTAAGAAAAGGAAGCACTTTTAGCAGTCCAAGCCCTTCCCTGAAGTGAATGGGCTCTCTCAGGAAGAAGTAAGGAACTCCCTCTAGAAGTGTTCAAGCAGAGATTGTCAGGGATGTTTTAATGTGGAGTCCATTAGGGTAAAAGAAAATTACACATCATGAAATTCCATTTGTCAGGCACTGTGCGCTAAACCCTTGGCAGGAAATATCTCTTTTAATCCTCTCATAACACCATGATGTGAGTACTATTATCCCTTTTTTTTCAGGATAGAAAGCTGAGGCTCAAAGAATTTCACTACTTCTCATTTGGCTTACTACTGGCATGGTGAATGGTAGGAACAATTATTTGTTGCACCTGTTTGGCATTCAATGCAGTAGTACCTTACACTGTGTGTAAAACACATAAACACACCACACATACTTCTAAATGCTTTGTGGAAATACTGATCCTAGTTGGGAATGTCAGGTACATAATATGTTTAGGATCACAAACAGTGGATACTTGAATACAGCCATGTCTAGCTCAGAAAGTGCATATCCTTTCTATTGCATTATCCACAGAAGTGAGATGGGAATGCACAATCTTTTACCCTCTAAGCCAACTCGAAAAGATTCTGATTTTCTCTTTCTTCCTTTTTCAATCCCATATAATTTATCAACTACAAAGTTCCATAGATTCAACTTTTGTGATGGCTTGTTAAATTCATTACCTCCTTTCTATTCCCATAGCCACCGCCTCAGTCCCAGGGCCTTGTTCCCTCACTGCCTCTAGTTTATCCATCTCTTGTGTTTTCCTATTCCATTCCAGTTGACTAACCTTTTTTTTTTACCAGATTACTGTTCCTAAAGCAGAGGATCTGCCGTTTTTTTTAAGCTCAGAACTTTCAATGGCTTTCCATTTTCTGCCAAATCAAATCAAAATCCTAGCATCCACTGTCTTTTGCAGTTTACCACCCATCTGCCTTGGCAACTTTAACTTACATTTTCCTGCTAACTCTAAAATCCAGGTCAGCTGGTGTTCTTTTCATATGCCCTTGAGATTCCCTGCCTTAAAGCAGTTGTTCCTGTTATTTTCTCTGCTTAAACTGTCTTCTCTATCTCCACCTGTTGAAATCTTATCTGTGTACCACAGTCTATCTTAAATAATAACAGTTAATATTTATTGAGTGTTTATTTTGGGCCAGCCACCATGCTAAGTGTGTGAAAGTATTTTATATGGATTATATCATCTAATACTCACAACAACCCTATGAGGTAGGTGCTATTATTATCCACTTTAGCCTGGAGTTAACAGAAACTCAGAAAGGGAGAAGTAATCTTATTTTCCGAGGTCACACAAATTAATAAATGGTGAGTATGAGATGTGAACTCAAGCAGTCTAACTCTGGAGCCCTGAAAGGCATTGCAATTTTAAAAAACAATCAAAAAACCTTTTTCTGATTTCATATGGTTCAACTTGATATGATCCTTACTTGGCAGCCTCTGAGCATTTTGATTTAACTTTTAAAACCTCTTTTGTGTTATATTTATATTTATCTGTGTTTTTTATATCTAGGATGACACTGTCAGGCCCCAGTGGGTACAGCCTAAGTCTCAAACATCTCACTGTCTCAACATGGTGGCACAGACTAGGTGCTCAGTGAGTCTCCTGAGTTGAAGGTATGCTGTGGTGAAAGAAGGAACAGAGGAGTTATCTAGCGGAGATGGTGCAAACTTTCCTGCCCCAGCTACCCAGCATAACATTGGCGAACTCTGCCAACACCTGTCTAAGTCAGACCCTGAAGTCTCTGTTTTCCTAGCCTGATCTCTGGCGGGTCCCTTCTTGTCCCCCAGTTCTTGCAGCTTGCTGGGTCTCGGCCAGTGTTTGGGGTGAGGCAGGATCAAAATAACACTGCCCGAGGCTCAGCTCCCAGGAATGAGAGATCAAGTAAACCAAGCCCGGCGGGTGAGGGGGTGGATTGAAAGCCCCCAAACAGAGCCAGCTTGCTCTTTACACAAGCCCTGACTTGCCCTCGAGCCACGTGGGTGGGTCAGCAGTTCTGCTTTCCTCAGGATGCTCCACAAGTCTGATCCTCTGCGCGCCCCCACCCCGCCTCCACTAACTCCCAGCCTCCTCGTCTTTACGAACGCTAGATGCTCAAGGTTGCTGGACACGTCCAGGCATGTTCCCAATGCAGGTCCAATAAGAGCCTACAGGGCAATGCAGGTACAGTAAGAGCCTACAAGAACTGGCTCGCCAAGACCCTAGGGATATCAGCCCAATTCCCTGGCACCTCAGAAAGCGCTCTCCAGATACAAATGGATGAACTGACCGTCAGCCACGGGGCGCCTTCCCAGTTGTTTTTGCGGCACCCTAGCAGGATCATCCTGACACGATTCTGTACTTCTGCACCTAGATGCCGCAGGTCCCAGCCGCCTTGCCACACCAGAGAGTGTTCCCACACTTACCCTGTAACGGAGTAGGTGGCTCTTGCTTCCAAAATGGGATTCCGGGACAAACCCACCTCAGCGGAGAGCAAACAACCCACCCAGCTATCTCCCCTCGGCCCGCGCCCCTCGGTCCCCGCCCCTCGACCCCGCCCCTCGACCCCGCCCCTCGGCCCCCAGCTTGCCCACACACTCACAGTGGATGAAATTCCTTGTAATCAAGATTCCGCTTGACTCATTTCACATCCACGTGTAGCTTCAACAGCCCAAATCCTCCTTTCAGGGTAAGCTTACCTCTTCCTCCCCAGTGAAGTTCCTAGAGCAGCTATTGGACTACTTGAGTGTCTAGGCGTGGCTACGAAAAGAAACTCTGCCCTTCAGAGACACAATGTAAGGCTGAAGAACAGTGACCAAGCGACTGGTATGGCAGGAGCTGCAAAGCTCCTGGGACCGAAGCGGGGCCAGAAAGTAGAGGGCCATGGTGTTGGGTCTAGAGAAAGCGTCAAGTTATCTCTTTCACAGCTGAATGCAGCTCAGCTCATCCGAGTTTGTTCACGAATTAGCAGCTTTGGAGTTTGACAGGGAAAATTGTTGTTGGAAAAGCCACGATTTTCAGACCCATGGAGAAGTCACTTTCCAGCTCTGGCTCTGCCTCAAAAAAATACTCCTCCATTCAGAAGTGTAGGTACTATTGTGACAGGAGGAAGAGAGCAAAAATGAAGCAGGGAAAAGACTACTAAAAATAAAAGAAAATAAAAGACTACTAAAAATAAAAGAAAACTGTTTTTGGCACTTAGCTCTGATCACCCATCTTCTCTGGGCCCCTGATTGTCTGTGCAAGAAGAGAGTTGAACTACATAGTTTCTAAGGGCACTTCAAGCAATAACACTTTGGGAGTTTATTATCTATGATCTCAGAGCAGCAGTGGATAATCCTGAAACGTTACTGGTCCCTGACCTTGAAGAGCTTGCAGAAGAGTTGGGAAGATAAAACTGACTGGACAGTCAGAAGGCCAAACTATGAGGTACAGACTAGAAGGGTTGGGGGGCGGGTAAAAGAAGTATTAAAAAAGAGTTTGCCAGGGAAGCAAAGGCTTTTCAATCGATTTGGAGGTTTTAGAAGAGGTCAAAGAGGAAATAGCATTATGGGTAGAGGAAAAGAAAAGCTTGAGCCAAGGTATGGGGGAGAGGACTGAGAAATGTGTCATTATCAGCCTCTGAGGGACTCCTCCTGTACTGGGCAGAGGTTATATGCCCGCTCAGGATAGGGTCTCAGTACAGCCCCTGAAAAGCTTTTGGTGGGAAAGGGTTGAATAGACCCTAAGCTGAAGTAGAAAAAGGGTTAAATGAATGTTGTATCTGTCCCCTTGCTAGAGTTGAGACCAGAATTAGCTACTGTGGGCTCAGGCCTAGAAGGAGGGAAAACTGCCAGAAATGGAATCCTAGGTCTGCCTCTTACTAGCTTGATGACCTAAGGCAAGTCACTTAACCACTCTGTGGCTCAGGATTCTCTTCTATGAAATGGGGAAAATAACAATCCTTACTCATAGGATTGTTTTGGGAATTATATGAGTTAATATACAAAATAGTGTTCATATGTATGAAAAGCTTAGAACGATTTCTGGGACATAGTGGTATAGAAGTGCTTATTAAATACAAATAAATAAATACATGAATGCACTTTAGGGCCCTCTGAAATTATCTGTGAGATTCCAATGAAAATAGCTACCCTGGATACCTCTTATTTCTGTCCTGTCCTTTCCTAGGAAACAGGACCTCTGCTTTTCTCCATGCTCTCCTACCCAGAGAGGCTTAGTTACAGACAGTTCTGAAACTTTTATGTAGTGGAAAGAACAGTAGCTTGAATTTAGATGTCTTGACAAAACTAAATATAACATCATGTAAATCTCTTCCACTCTCTTAGCTTTCCTTTCTGTATCTGTATCCTGAAGAGACTGGATGACCTTGAAACCTAGGTCAGTGCTTCTCACATATTAATGCGCACACAAACCACCTAAGGATCTTGTTAAAACAGAGTCTGAGTTAGCAGCTCTGGTGTGGGGCTAAGACTCTTATTTTGTAACTGCTTCCAGGTGATACTAATAATGCTGGGCCACAGACCATAGTTTCAGTAGCAAAGGTCTAGAAGGTGTACAAGAAGAACATTTACTGAACATCTGTATGTCATGCATATGTGTCTCTTTACATACCTTACAGCAGTCCTATGAGGTTGAGATTACTATACTCATTTTGTAGATGAAGCGGCTCCTTGTACCCTGTGATTCTGCCTGGAAGTACAGGAGAAAACTTGAGATAGAGGTGCCAGGGAAATGTCAGAGTCCACAAGCAAGAGCTTGTGGAAAGGGATTATAAGCAGCAAATGTGAAGCTACTGTCCTCCACCATTACTTGTCCAATAATACTATAACAGTTAGCTGGCCCTCACTAAGCACTTACCAGGCACTGTTCCATTTTTTTTTCATGAATTAATTCATTTTATTTCACAATCTATGAGGCCACAATCAGAATGATCCTCACCTCTGTTTTGCTCACACGTCAAATTCAACTCATCAGTATATCCTGTCAGCCCTGCCTCTTGCCTCAGAGATAAACTCTGAATTTCAACAACTTCTTAGCACCTTCACTGGAACCACTCTGGTGCAAGCCACAATTACCTTTCACCCGAATTATTGCCATATCCTCCAACAGCTCTCCTTGCTATATTGTCCTTACCCGGCTCCAGTCAGTTCTCAGCCGCTGCAGCCAGTGATCCTTTTAAAAGTACATCAGTCTAGTCTGTCCAGGCAATTCTACTGGTTGGCATCTTATTCAGTGGAAAAGCCAAAATCCTTAACTATAGTATATAATAGTGTACAATCCATCCCACTCCATCCCACCCCAACTAACCTGCCCCTCTATCTCTGATCTCATCTCTTACCACTCCCCTTGGCCACCATAATCAACCCCCCTGGCCGCCTTAATATTTATTCCAACACTCAAAGCATGCTCCAGACTCTGGTCTTTGTATTTGCTGTTCCTTCAGCCTAGCCAACTCTTACCCCAGATATCAGCGTGGCCCCTTTTCCTCACTTCCTCCATATCTCTGCTTAAATGTCACCTTATCAAAGAGGACGTTTTTGAATACCCTATCTAGTACAAGCTAATGAAATTGACTAGGCCTTTTGAAATCCACTGGGTAGGTGAACTTTTCCTCAGCACTAACCCCAGAACCTGAGGTGCAGTGTGGTGGTAGGTAGGGTTAAGGCTCTCTGCTCTCTATGGGTGAGCCACTTTAGCTCCGTGTGCTTGTGCAGCAGAACTAAGTTTGGATCAGCTCATTTCTTGAGGGCTTTCCACATGTCCTCCCTTTATCATAGACAGGAGTCACTTCATGAATCCAAACTGAGTCCTATCAGTAAAGAGTTTCTCTGCCTATACTATAGTGCTGGAACCAGCCTAACCTGACAGCAGAATAGGCAGGACTAGCCTCCACTCTGCTTATCTCTGGGGCCAGACAGATTCTGGGGCTTAATGAGATTGAGTGCTCACTGATGCCACCCCTCAGCTCTCTCTCAGCAGTTACTTAGGGTCAGTCAGGGGAATATTGGCCTTAGCTGTGTCTCAGAGAATCCTGAGTAACCTCTATTCTAGTGTCCAACAAAGGCAGGACAGCATTTCATGAAGGAGCTTCATGGTTATCCAGGCAGAATGGGGCCCTTATAGCTCTTCTCAAGACTGGGAACAGGGAGCAGAAAAAGAGGCTGAAAGACTAAGGGGATGCTGAGGCCTATGGGGCAACTCCTATAAACTCAAACATTGCTAGGGATGTCCCTGAATACAATATCAGTTTCTTGTTCTCTTTAGTCAGCCTATGAGATGTGTGTAGATAAACTTTGCCATGCATATCTGATGTGATGGTGTATACAGGCTTAGGTCTTCTGAATTAGAAAGCTGGGGTATAAGAGTTACTTCCAGCCGTGGGAATTTTCAAACTTCAGTTGGATTCTATGCAGTCCAGTAGTGTTATCTCTAATTCTAAATCATCTTCTATTCCACTTGCCCAAGATGGCTTTAAAACTCACTGTTCTTACACAGCTCCCAAACTCCTAGCAGATGACTTCACCTCCAGTTTCAATGAGAATGTAAAGGGGCACCAAGCTTGAGCTCTAAAAACATCTGACGTCTCCACATTCAAGCTCATCCTGTTTCTCACCTCAGAGATTCGTCCTGTCTCCATCCGTGTTTACTCCTTCTGTCTATTCCATTTTACTTTATTTGTATCTTCATAGTCTTTCTTCCTCTGGCTCCTTCTCCTAAATTGTCTTTCCATTCTGAACTAGGATTCATTGCTTTCATATCTTCACCTCCACCTCTTCATTTCCAAACTCACGATAGTCTGCTCTTCTCAAGGTCACCCATGAATTCTTTACTATCCAACCCATGAATTATTCTATTTTCTTATTTGAATTATCTATAACATCCAACATTGTTTGGATTCTTTTCTTTCTGATTCTCTTACCTTGACTTTCATGGAAACCATGTCTTCTGGTTTCACTTATTTCTCTACAGCATTTTCTGGATTCTCATTCTCCACTTGCCCCTCAAGTGCACAGCTTTTACAGAGTTCCCCCAACCCTCCATTGGCCCTCTGGCCTGATTCTAACTTCTCTCACTGGAGTGTGAACCTATGTGGCAGAGACTTTGTATACGATTTCACTAATTTTCACATGCAAAACAGTATCTAAGGTATTTTAAGTGCTCAATACATTTTTACATATGTTATATATCAATACATCTGTTGAATAAATGAATCGGTGGGCCCAAGGAGGCCCAAGGAGGAGAATTCTCACATTGAATTTATCATTCTATAATGAGCTACCAGGCCTCAGGTGTGCCATGATAAATATAACATGGCTGCAAAAGAATTGAAGCCCACATCCAAAATAATAATAATAGTCAACACTTGATCACTGCTTGATGAACTCTATATGTCAGGCCCTATGCCAAATGTTCTATATGCAATAGCTCATTTAATCATCGCATAATCCTATGAGGCACAAACCATGACATCACTCCTATTTTATTTGTATTTATTTATTTTTTTATATTTTATAAATAACAAAATTGAGACACGTAAATGATAGGCAACTTATCTATGCCATCTATCAGTGCCACAACCAATAAGTGGCAACTGACCCAGGATTCTCAAGAATAGCTGATGACTAAAATATTCACTGACACACTAAAATGTACAATCCTTTCTTTCCCTTCCAAGCAGAGGCTCTTCTCATCCTCTCTGGAGAGCTATTCTAAACTTCTACCTTTAGAAATAGAGGTTAA